GGGTCGCTACGCCTCTGCGGTAACTGTACTGTAGGCATAATCCATTTTTAAAAGTATTTACTATAACAAGAGATTGCATTATATTGTATTTTAATCCAAAACATTGTATTAATTATTGTCTTTTCTTAAATTCTAATAAATCAGTGAGTTGTACAACATAGAGGGTATTATATTTGAATGATAATTGAAACACATATTGTTATAGAGCTATCTAATGTAATTAATATACAGAAACAGTTTTATTGAAGCATATTTTTTCATATTTTACCACACAGAGACTTATGTGTAAGCTTAAAGTAAAGACATCAAATCAAAGTGTCAGCCATAAAGAGGGTAAATATTGATAGTCTACTTCAGTAATCTTCAATATGAATGAACACAAATTTAAATCTATAATTATCTTTGCTGATCATGTTTGTTTCTTGTTATTCATCATGTTCAGTGCTTTATTTTTTCAAAGTAATTAGTTTATAGTAAAGAAATAGTAGAGATAGTAATATAAATTTGTAATTTATTTCTCTTGCTAGTTCCACAAAAGAAAGTTTCAAAATATTTTGCCTTTATTTCATTTACAGAAAAACATTCAAAATCATATTGTGATACACAAGTCAAGCAAGTCTATGAACAGCATTATGATACAGGCCAAGAAAAAGCTGGATATTTGATTGGAAGGGTGTCACAAAAAAGATGGGTTATCACTAGGGAAACAAGCTCGGAATACAGTTCACTGTTAGGACAGCAAGCCAAATACTTCTAAACTTATTTGAATCATTTTTGCTGTTTATTATAATTCACCAAATTGTTTTATTAATAAATTTATATATATATACACAATTCCTAACATAGAATTTCTAAAAATGTTTTTTTTTATAATATTTAAAAATGAAACAATAATTTTCATTTTAATCTGCAAAAGCTACATTCTGCACATTTTTATTTTTAAACCACATCATATATTTCTTTAACTTGCTTTCTCTGTGTCTGTGTTTGTCTTTCCAATCCAATCTTGCGATCGAAATTTCTGACACTTCCCAGTTAGCTAGCGCGATGAAATTTTCAGGGAAGCTTTCTTTTGGATGACCATAGAATATGCAATTGTTATTATTACTAAATTGATCAATGGAAACATTTTATTGAGCATTTTAGACCGCTATATAATCTATATATATAATTCTCCTCTGCGAGGCATTAGAAAAAAAAACCAGCGACGCGTACCTCGCGCGCAGTAAAGCGAACGATCCCACGTTGCCACAGGCTTAGGGGCAGATAATTTACTTTGAACCGAGTTTAAACTAACAGGATGTAGGCCAGTTTGGGGGAGACGATATGGTCGAGTGGTTGGGCACACGATTGCTATCCCACTCGACATGGGTTCAAATCTATGTGTTCTAGTCAGTAACGTATTCACACAACGATTATTTTTTCGAGTTGTCTTTTTACGAGTTGTCTTTTTACGAGTTGTCTTCGTTTACCCAAAAAAAAGTGAAAAGATAAAATCTATAGCAAGATTTTAATGCAAACAAACAGACAAAGACTAAAAAGTAGAAAATAATAATCATTAAAAAAGTTTAAAAAAACCCACGTTTTCTGATTGAACTAAAAAGTAGAAAATAAATACTATACATCACAATAATGCAAGCGATCACTCTACTATAAGCGATCAAAAACGTGGGGCGCCGTGATTTTCTTACAGTTTCTAATACTGTTGACTCTCTACAAGCTCCCTAACAAAAGTCAATAGTATTATCTAATCAATAGTAATATAACTTTTACTTCGGCGCCCCACGTTTTTCATCGCTTATAGTAGAGTGATCGCTTGCATTATTGTGATGTATAGTATTTATTTTCTACTTTTTAGTTCAATCAGAAAACGTGGGTTTTTTAAAACTTTTTTAATGATTATTATTTCTCTTCTCTGATAAAAACTATTCCTCATATTGTCTGTGTCAAGTATTTTATTTTTTATCTATGCAACACTATATTCCTATTTTATAATAATTACTTTTTTTTTCAAATTCTTTTGAAAACTGTTCTTTATTGATTTGTATCATTTTCTTTATTTCTGAAAAATAAAACTTTGTTGGGAATCCTTTTTCTGTTTCTTTTCTTTTCTGTTTCTAATTAATAAACATAAATACCTACCGGGCTTAATATCCAGCAACATTAAACAATTAAGTAGGGCCTATTGTTTGTAATGGTAAATTTTATACTAATTAATGCGATTTCTCCTGGCCACCTTGTTCTGAATACCTGCAACTGTCAATGTTGCTACCAACTCCAATTATTAAAACTGAAGCCATTTACTATGAAGTAAACAATAGGTGTAATCCAAATCCACCCAGTTGGGACAAGGTACCAAACATAATGTCCAGTAGAGGATTAAGAAAGTATCATTCGTATTAAGATACTCATACTCCAGTAGCCTAGCGAGGGTGGGCGGGGGGGGGGGGACATATGTCCCCGGGCGCCGACCTTAGGGGGCGCCAAAATGGGTTGGAAAAATAAATTGAAAGGTTGAGGCGGGTGCAAATCGAAAGTTTGAGGTAGGGGGTGCAAATGGAAATCTCGAGGGGGGGGGTGCAAATCGAAAGTTTGAGGGGGGGGGGGTGCAAATGGAAATCTCGAGGGGGGGGGGGTGTGCAAATCGAAAGTTTGAGGGAGGGTGCAAATCGAAAAGTTTGTCCCCGGGCGCCGGGAAGGGTCGCTACGCCTCTGAGATACTCCAGAATTTTAAAGGAAGGAGTGGTTGGTAAGGGCTATTAAACCCCTCCTTGCCTACGCCACTGCTTGTATGCATATGGACGTTATCGGAATTTACTGTATTGCTTATAATTATAAGTCGAAAATGTGAAAACGACATCTTTAACATTACTAGTTTGAAGAATAACATACATGTTAGCCGAAACAGGTGTATTCTAAAGTTGTTTTAATTCATTTTATTATTCATTACGATGATGTTATCGTAAAATATAGGGCAATAGGCCTATTTTAAAAAAAAACATAACTAAAAAGTGTTTTCTTCTTACAAAAGCCTCACGGGCATGATATCAGTAACATTACGGCAAATCAAACAACTGAAGAAGCCCCATCAACCAATAGTTGCGTAGTTCAATGATTACGATGTGCAACAAAAAAAAAAAAAAAAAAAAAAAAAAAAAAAAAAAAAAAAAAAAAACGCCCGCATCCGCATCAGGGTACAGTCCTTTTGCTATCGACATTAGCTCAACCCGGGCAACTAACGTGTCCCACAACCTAGAATTGAAATCTTAACCCATTATTCTGATTAATTAGTGGTTAAACATATTTAGGCATCTGAAGACGTTAGTTTTTAATCTAGTGTACTCAATACGGAACAACAGAAAACTTTATGCCGCCTTAAAAACCCAATCCCATGTTACGCAAGGCGTCAATAGAGAAAGAATAAGGCTTTGAGTCAGAACACGCAAGGGCTTAGATAACTGCCAAAATACCTAAACTGTAGACCTCTCAAGTTTAGAAGATATATTTGTGCCTCTGTTTTTAGAATTTCAGACGAAATACATGTTATGTGGTCAAGATGCGCATAAAAGAGAAAATCGTTTAAATCTAGAGACTTCAAACATTTCCGAAGGACCAAATTTCAACTTGTAGACCGTTGGTGTCGATGCCAAATTTTAGCGTCGTCCACAGAGACAAGTTATTGTTATATCATCTCTATGCCCATATTGTGACAGATATTTACAGATGTGTCTAATATGGGACAGAATACATAGCTACTCAACAGAGATAAGCGCAATCACTTGTCCACGACTTTAAACCACTGTACCGCAAAACCCACCCAAATGAAAAATGTCTTAGATCTGTGTTTTAATTAAAAATGTGTACTTCTTCGCGAGTTGGGACCTGTCGGTAGTCTGTTACTAGATCTACTCTATATCTAAAAACAATAAAAAGATAACGTTCATTTTACGTGTTCAACTTCTTAATTAAATGTATTTGTTGCATCTTGTTTAGTTTTGTTAATATTGATTAACCTAAAGGGTTCAAATGTAACAAAGGAAATTGTGACTAAATTTCCGGCTGCGGGTATGCGCAGAGGCGAGGGGGGGGGGGGGGGGCGGGGGGACGGGGACATATGTCCCCGGGCGCCGACCTTAGGGGGGCGCCAAATTGAAAGTTTGAGGGGGGGGGGGTGCAAATCGAAAGTTTGAGGGGGGGGGGGTGCAAATCGAAAGTTTGAGGGGGGGGGGGGTGCAAATGAAAAGTTTGAGGGGGGGGGGGTGCAAATTGAAAATTTGCTACCGAAGGGGGAGCCAAATTGAAAGTATGTCCCCGGGCGCCGGGACCCTCCACACCCCCGAACGAAACGGATTTATATAGAAAATAATATATACTTTTAATAGTTTCCGGACGCCTCCCCCCCCCCCCCGGAAATTTTACCCCTCCCCGGAGAAAAAAGTCTGAAAGAAACACTGTTTGTGAAGATTTTGAGTATACTCATGTGGAGATTCCTGCAGAAAGTTTTTTTTAAATTTTGTCAGGGCGGCGCCCTAGCAGGAAGCAGAGGCGTAGAAACTTATTCCGGCGCCCGGGGGCGAACTATCAATGTTGTGCCAACCCTATTCAAACGCTGGCAAAAAGGCGCCCATCCCTACATACACTCTCATATATACAACAATTCAGGAAATCAGTCATGACTAAATCTATTTTCTTAAATTTGACTGAAGAATGAGGACTTAAAAAAAAATCTACCCCTTTTGGCGCCCCATTCAATCGGTGCGGGGGATCTCTGACAGGAAGGGATGCAATTTTTCTCCATAAAAATAAAAGTCAGATGCGATTTGACACTTTTCGTACGAGAGTGTTACGGGTCATTTGTAGGTTAGACTAGAATAGGATAGAATGATCTAGAATTAGGGGAGAGTGAGTGTGTGAATTGAGTTTACCCTAGAATATTGTTAACCCCGGTGTGTTTGTGTATTGTTATCCCAAGGTCGAATGCGGTATAAAAGCTGGAGTGAATGGTTGTCAGGGGTTAGTTGGTAGTGGTTAGGTCGAGGGCTATTCTGTAATGTGATATGTGAGACCTAATAAACGTATTGAACGTTAAACCGAGTCGTTCTTGAATTCGAATCTAACTTGGACGTAACAACTGGTGGCCAGTATTAAAGTAAAGATAGCGCAAGCATCAGAACGTCATTACCACTGGACGTCACCATTACTAGACGTCACCATTACTAGACGGCACCATCATTAGACGTCACCATCGCTAGACGTCATCATCACTGGACTATACCATCCTGGGACCATCAGAACGTCAGTACCACTGGGCGTCACCATCACTAGACGTCACCATCGCTAGACGTCACCATCACTAGACGTCATCATCACTGGACTATACCATCTTGGGACCTTACCTGAACAGAAAGTCGCCATCAGAACGTCAGTACCACTGGGCGTCACCATCACTAGACGTCACCATCGCTAGACGTCACCTTCACTAGACGTCATCATCACTGGACTATACCATCCTGGGACCTTACCTGAACAGAAAGTCGCCATCAGAACGTCAGTACCACTGGGCGTCACCATCACTAGACGTCACCATTACTAGACGTCACCATCACTAGAAGTCATCATCACTGGACTATACTTCCTGGGACCTTACCTGAACAGAAAGTCGCCATCAGAACGTCATTACCATTGGACGTCACCACCACTAGACGTCATCATTACTAGACGGCACCATCATAAGACGTCACCATCACTAGACGTCACCTTCACTTGACGTCATCATCACTGGACTCTACCATCCTGAGACATTACCAGAACAGAAAGTCGCCATCACTGGACTCTACCATCCTGTGACATTACTAGAACAGAAAGTCGCCATCACTGGACTCTACCATCCTGAGACCTTACCAGAACAGAAAGTCGCCATCACTGGACTCTACCATCCTGTGACATTATCAGAACAGAAAGTCGCCATCACTGGACTCTACCATCCTGAGACCTTACCAGAACAGAAAGTCGCCATCACTGGACTCTACCATCCTGAGACTAAAAGACTAAAATTGAAGGAGCTGGAAATAGCAAGGGAGGAAGACATAAAGGGCAGGGGTAGGGCACAGACTCCAAGAATTAAGCTGACTGGACTGAGAAACAGTAGGGTCAAAACAGATATGGAGGTGGTGGTTGAAATTTTTGAAAGGGAAGCCCGAGAAATAGGTTTAGAAGATAAGTTTTGGTGCCACGAGTTTAGAAAAGTTCTGCTAGATATAGGCTGCAAATCGTGGTTGACAGAATTTGGGAGCCGAAGAGAATTATGGGAAGCTGAAAAGGGAGGTCCTAAAACACTTTGGTTTGACGGAGCAAGGATACAGTGAAAAGTTTAATAGCGCCCAACCATCAGAACAAGATAGAGCAGGGAGTTACATTAGGAGGGTGCGACACTACTTGAGAAGATGTGTCGAAGCCAGCAAGTGTGAAAAAACATTTGACGGACTGTTTGACCTACTCTTAAAAGACAAAATAGTGAGAACAGTTGGACAAGACGTAAGACAGCACGTCCTCAGGCAAAACCCGAGGACAATAACAGACGTAGAAAATGCTTGTGACAACTACTTTGACATCTACCCAGACAGAAAACTAAAACCGATCGACGTGGCAGAGGACACATTTGTTGCCCCCATGGCACTTGCATCAGGATCTAGGAATCCCTTTAGAGAGGACATGGACAAACGAACCCTAAGACCTAGATCTAAGAGCCCCATTAGAGAGGAATGGGGCACAAGAAATGAAGTCACCCTTCAACAGGAGCGAAGAGGACAAAGCCCGGTCCAACCTAGGCCGAGTAGTAATAATAGTCCCAGAAGACGCCCAATCACATGCTTTAACTGTGGGGCAGAGGGGCACATAGCGGCGGGGTGCCGGTCCAATCGTAGACAAATTGCACATGAGTACAGAGGGAAAAGGGTAGGCTTCAGGGACATTCAAGACATATGACTAGTCCCAGAGTTCAGCGGGGAGTGCGGCGACTGTGGACAATGCCTAAGTCAAGTAAAGGGCGCTGTCCCTGTAGGGAACATAGGAGCTAATCTGAGATTCATAAGCGACAGAGGGTCACTTCCTATAGTTGCAGGAAAGCTGGATGGGAGGACGGTGACCGTCCTACGGGATACGGGCTCTGTAGTCGTAGCGTGTCGAAAAGCCCTAGTCTCAAGAAATAGATGGACAAAAGAATGGATAACCATAAAGACCGCGGATGGAGATAAGAAAAGAGTACCAGGAGCTGTAGTCAACATAGAAACACCATACCTTACGGGAGAGTTCTTTGCCGTCCTTTTAGATGATCCACCAGCTGAACTTATAATAGGGAATGTAGCAGGTGCGAAACTACCGAGGGAAGATTCGCTAACAATAGCGGCGGTAGAAACCAGAGGACAACTTAGATCAGGGGGCAACCAGAGAAATGGGCCGGGGTATAAAATTCTAGACCAAATAACGACACCGAAAGATTTTAAAACGCAACAGAGCGAAGACAGAACATTGGCTAGGTGGTGGAAGCTCGCGGAAAAGGGCAAGCAATGTAAAACGATAGATGGGTTATTATATAAGATCATAAAACACAGCAAAACAGAAGATCAGATTAGGCTAGCAATCCCAAGGGGACTTAGGCCCACCATCCTGAAATTAGGACACGATACACCTATGGCGGGGCACATGGGTGTAGCAAGAACGAAAGCCAGAATTCTGTCACAATTTAGCTGGCCAGGGGCAGGGGAGGATACCAGATGTTACTGCGAAAGTTGTGATGTTTGCCAGAAAAGCAAAAAGAATGTTGGTGGCAAGGCGCCTCTGGGTAGAACTGAGGTAGTGGGACAGCCGTTTGAGAAAATCGCAATAGATATTGTGGGACCACTAACTCAAACGAAAAAAAAGAACAGATTCATACTCACAGCCGTAGACATATGCACACGGTGGCCGGAAGCCGTACCGCTGAAAAGTGTAACGGCAGCAGAGATTCAAGATGCGCTACTCTCCATCTTCACGAGGATGGGATTCCCGGAAGTCATACTCTCAGATAACGGGACCCAGTTCACGTCGGAAATTTTCTGCACCGTGTCTAAAATGTTGGGGATTAAGATCATTCACGCTTCTGCATATCACGCCATGGCCAACGGGGCGGTAGAACGATGGAATGGAACTTTGAAGGAAATGCTAAAGAAAGTAGCTATAAACAAGGATGACGATTGGGACGTGTTCATCCTAGCAGCACTTTTCGCCTACAGAGAAGTTCCAAACGAAAGCACTGGTTACCCGACATTCGAACTTATGTTCGGCAGGAAAGTGAGGGGCCCGATGAGCATCCTAAAGGATGTCCTCACAGGAGAAGTGAGGGAATATAAGACAAGAGCTGCGTATGACTACCTGCTGGACCTTAAGCATCAGTTGCAAACGGCATGCAGTTATGCAACCCGCAAATCAGAACATGAGAAAGATAAAGCAAAGAGCAAAGATAGATCAGCCACAACCAAAGATATCAAAGTGGGGGATCTTGTGCTGATATTGAAGCCCCAACTATTAAACAAACTAGAGCTAAGGTGGGCGGGACCTTACGAAGTCTTAAAAAAAATCGGAGACTTGGACTATGTTATTAAAACAGGGGACAGCACTAAGGTGGTCCATGTAAATCGGATGATGCTGTACCATCACAGACAAAAACCAGACGACAGCAAGGAGCACCCCATGTTAGCGGCAGTATCAGGAGTGGTGGAGGCAGAAGAAGAAAACCAAGTATCAGAAACAGATGAGGAGGACTTGGAACCGGGTATCCCATTGGACACAATAAAAACTCCCGACATACTGGAGGAAACTAAGTTAAGTGATATCAAAATAGGAGACACCCTGACAAAAACACAGCGGACGGACCTAAACATAATTATCAAAGAGTACACGGCTGTAATTAGCAACTTACCTGGAAAAACAAGTTTACTAGAACATAAAATAAAACTGACCAACACCAGAGCAATAAGAACGAAACCCTACTGCATACCGTACGCCCGAAGAGAGCTTATGAAGAAAGAGATGGACGAAATGGAGAGACTGGGGATAATAGAGAGGTCCGACTCCGACTTCAGCGCACCTGTAGTACTAGTTAAGAAAAAAGATGGGTCGACAAGGTTCTGTGTAGACTATAAGAGACTTAACGCAGTCACAGTATACGACGCGGAACCCATCCCAGATACAGATGAGCTGTTCGCTAAATTAAATAGGGCAAAATATTTTACTAAACTCGACCTCACAAAAGGGTATTGGCAGATCCCCATGCAAAATGACAGCAAGAAACTCACCGCATTTGTCACACCCTGGGGCCTATTTCAGTTTAATTACCTGCCCTTTGGCCTATGCACGGCACCCGCCACATTCGCCAGAGTAATGCGAGTCGTATTAAAAGACTTGGAAAATGTGGTGTCATTTTTTGATGACATCTGTATCTACAGCGAGACATGGGAGGAACACCTTATGGCAATAAAGGCGGTGTTCAATAGATTGAAGGACGCGGGCCTGACATTAAGACCTGCCAAATTAGAGCTAGGGTTTGAAAAAATTAATTTCCTAGGGCACGTAGTGGGGAGGGGGCTATTGACACCAGAGAAAAACAAGGTAAACAAAATAATCTTAAACGTAGCAATACCCACCACAAAGAAAGAGGTAAGATCATTAGTGGGTCTCATATGGTATTATGCTAAATTTATACCAGAATTCAGCGAGGCCAACGCAATACTGACAGGTTTGTTAGCAAAGGGTAAACCTGAAAAGGTCGCGTGGTCGGATGAATGTAACCGTGCTTTAAGACTGGTCCAGAAACACTTGAACTCAGAACCATTTCTTATTTTACCTAATATCAATGAGCAATTTATCCTCAGGACCGACGCCTCGTCACGAGGTATCGGGGCAGCCTTGATGCAAATGAGAAATGGGGTCCTGAGACCAGTAAAATACATCAGTAGAAAACTCCAACCGAGAGAGACTCGGTACTCTACTATAGAAAGAGAGTGCCTAGCAATTGTCTGGGCCACAGGCAAACTAGCGTTGTATTTATACAACGCTAGCTTCATACTGCAGACGGACCTTGTTATCCCAAGGTCGAATGCGGTATAAAAGCTGGAGTGAATGGTTGTCAGGGGTTAGTTGGTAGTGGTTAGGTCGAGGGCTATTCTGTAATGTGATATGTGAGACCTAATAAACGTATTGAACGTTAAACCGAGTCGTTCTTGAATTCGAATCTAACTTGGACGTAACAACATAAAATTTTGGGGAGTTGGTGAAAAGGGTTTCGAGAAAGAAAAAAACAACTTAAGGGTGGCACCCTTGGGGGTTTCTATTTTTCTCATTATACGATTATGAGCCCAGAATCCAGAGGGGAATCCAAAGGGGCTATCTATAAAATTGCGGTCATAGGTAATAATTGATTCAACAGAGGTGTAGCGAGGGCGTGGGCGGGGGGTACATAGGCGCCGACCCTAGGGGGCGCCAAAATGGGTTGGAAAAAATGAAAAGCTCATTTTAGCTACAGTTTTGCATTATAAATATAAAAAAATATATAGGGGGCGCTGAATTGAAAGTTTGTCCCCGGCGGAAGGGGGGGGGGGGCCGCCAAATTGAAAAATTTGTCCCCAGGCGCCAGGAAGGGTCGCTACGCCTCTGAGATTCAGTGGTAAAACTACACCAGGTCCATCCGCCAGCTCCCCGGCGATTGAGTGAACCAGAGCGGCCAAGAGCTTTCCCGGGAGACACTACGGTTTAGATGGGCTACTATAATTGTTCACTAAGTAGAATAATGAGCGCCCGCCGGCGCCCTGGCAGTTGGCGACAGCGAGCGCCCCGGGCTCTACCGAGTGCGCCTACTTGCTTTTTAAAAAGCACTCTACAATAGGGACACGGTGGCACACGACATTTGAGAATTAAACCGAATTCGGGCGCCCCTGCGGAAGTATAACCAGTGGCTCCCTGGAGCGCCAAGGGACGCGTGTCTAACACGTGGGCGGTCGCCGATGTGTGTTCTACCTCACTATTACAGAGGTTGATTAACGTACACTCAAGGGTTTCATACAGTACGCCTTGGTGCGTCTACGCGGCAGTGTGGACAAAACCGCGCACCAAAAACGAATATGTGGGTTTGTTTGTTTAAGTATTACCAAAGATTTCATTCGTTTGTCATTCAAATTTGAGAAGCTATTGCTAATACCCCTGTGGTGGCTTCTGCGAAAAAAAATCGATTTGGTGGCGCCCCGGCAGATTTCGATTTAGCTCCCGGGGTTTTCCCGTGAGTACTATGGTACCTTTGTTCGTTTTAATAATTGTGAAACGCTATGAATATGATGGGCTACTATAATCGTTTACTATACCGAGTGAGGCGCCTTCCTACCTAGGCCCACCTACCTACATACCTAACTCCCTGCCTACCTACCTAATCATTTACTAACCTGCCTGCGCTGCTGCCTGCCCTCATACTTTCCTACCTGCCGTTATTCCTGCCAAACTGTTTTCCTTCCACCCCGCCTGTCTGCCTACCTCACATCCTACTTACACACACACACATATGTTCGTATGTATATATGTATGTGCTAGTGTGCTCATAGACTATGTATTTTTACAATTTTGTTGTTGGGTATAACTATTAAGTTTAAAGGAGTTTCCTTTTGTTTTGTTTTTTTGACGTTGTACCTGCCGCTAAAATATTCTTTGTGTGTGTGTGTGTGTGTGTGTGTGTGTGTGTGTGTGTGTGCATAAAATAGGGTAGGTTTATTAATAAAATTAAATTTTATTATTTATTTAAGTGTATATAATCATTTTCGTCAAGCCAATGCGTTCATAATCATAAATTTAAAAACCCATGAAACTCGATAGCTAAAGATTTATAATGAGAAATAATTTAATAATTGCTATTTAACCAGAAACACCTATTCTAAGTGTTGTAATAATATTTTCTAAAAAAATATATACACAGAGACAGATTGTTTTCTTATATAATTAATTTAAAACGTAAACTGTATTTCACAACGAAAATCAACACAAAATAAATTCCAATAGAACCTGTCAAGGGAGACTACTCTAATATTTGTAAAATTAATAGTTTTTACTAAGAGTTTTTTTTTTTTATTATTAAAAGAAACGTTAATTATGTAGGTTCTATAAAATATTACCTTGCTTTTAAAAATATATATTCGATAGGTTTAGAATGTATTAGCTATTAATTTTTGTTTCAAATAATATAGTAAAAAGGCCTGTTTTAATTATTTTAAAAAAATCTTATTTTTATTAATAAATTATCAACAAAGTTAGAGGTTCTATATTTTTAAAAAATAGTTTAACTGTCCCTAAACAATTGTATCAATCACTGAGAAATTAAGAATAAGAATTAATAATTACGTTTAACGCTTTATCAATTAAACGAATTGAATTATTTCCGTTTTGATAAACTCTCTCTTTATAACTATCTATAATCTAATATATAAAGCTCAATTCTGTATGTAAAAATACATATGTTTGTCGTTGACAAACTTCTATTGATTAAAGTGTTAGACTATAACCGTGCGCATTTGTCTAAATTTATGAGTTAAAAAATTACTATTGAAAGCGTTGGGAAATAATTTTCATTTTTTTAAACTGATAATAATAATTGTCGGCATGTTCATTAAACACTATTTTAAAATAATATCATCTTTTACAAAAATTCTAATTATGTCTTTATTTAGTCCTATAGCACTTACTTCCCTTTGATAAATTAGGAAAACACAATTACTTCCCTTTATAAAACCATTGCATTAGTGGAAAAGAATTTACTTTTTATTACTTTGTTTTGGTGTTGGGAAAAAAAATAATTACATAATTAGCGGGGATTGATCAAGTGCAAATGTTGTAGGTATTTTACGCATAAGCTTGGAGCATTATAATTGTTCATTAAATTGAAACAGACGCGTTCGTTTAAGTGAGTGCAAAAGACTATGAATAAGTTGGGGTATTATAGTCGTTCATTAAGCTAAAACAGGTGATTCCGCCCCCGGCGTTTATGTTCGCGTTAGTGTTTTCTTTGTGTTTAGGTGGGTTTGCGTTAGTGGTTGCGTTTTGATTTGGTTCTTTTTTGTTCTTTCTTTTTTTGTTTTTGTTTTTTTTCTTTGGGATTGTATTTGTGTTTTTGGTTGGTTTTGCGTTTGGATTTGGTTTGTTTTCGTTTTCGTTGTTTTTTTGTGTGTTGGTATTGGTGTTTGTGGTTGTGGTTGGGTTTGTTGTTAGGTTTTTGTTTTCGTTTGCTTTTTTGTTTGTTTTTTCTTTGTGTTTGTATTGGTGTTTGTGGTTGTGGTTGGGTTTGTTGTTAGGTTTTTGTTTTCGTTTGTATTTGTAATTGTGTTAGCGTTATGTTTGCGTTTTGTTGTTTGGGTTGGTTGTGGTTTGGGTGGGCAATGCCGGGTTTATGATGATTACTAAACACACAGGTAATGGTCTTTAACAGAAAGGTTTTCACAGAAGCCAGAGCAGGGCCTGGCCGGGACGGTTAGTATCTATAATATAAGCGGGCTGAGCGTGTCCTTCCTTCCGTCCGTCATCGCTATAGATTTTGGGACTATAAAAGTAAGCTACGCACCATGCTGTGCTTTTCAGTGCACCGCAGTGTCTTATTATAAGTATTAGAGTAGGGTTTGTTTATATAGCGGCATAGGGCTATTTTATAATTTCCACTGTTTGTACAATTTTGCATAACGTAAAGAGAATATTAAATACACGCACATTGCTAAAACATATTAAAAGGATCAATGTCAAATATTGTTTTATTTTTTATGCCTGAGAAAGGTGGAAACATTTTAATAACGTAATAACAGTAGGCTAGAAAAATCAAATTAATTTAACTCTTTTTTCTAATTTTGACAAGGGAGGTAATTCAAAAATAAATTTAACTCACGCTAATACAAAAAAAATGTGAATGCAAATGTACGGACGTACTAGAAGGAATTAGTGTTGCAATAATATAATTAGCAAAATGTGAATGCAAATTGTGCGGATGCGGATTGTTAGAAAATTATAATTAGCATGGATTGATAAAAGGCAATCTTTTAATTATTTCATTCACTGAATTTACTGTTTACTATTTATAATTTTTAATCGACTATTCCGCAATATTATAGGCGCGTCATCACCTTCATTGGGTGGATGGTGCGCAATGGTTTTAGTTATGAAACTCTATTGTAAATTTTTAAAATTTAAAGTACTGGGGGAAAAAATGCGTGAATGGATAAAGTGAAATATTTAGGTGAAACACGGATATTTTAAATACTGCCTATTATTTATACTGTTTACTAATTATTATTCTATCTTTCGGTTTGAGGACAAGTTAGGGGTTTTATAGGAGAGGCGTAGCGAGGGGGGGGGGGTGGCATATGTCCCCGGGTGCCGACCTTAGGGGGCGCCAAATTGGGTTGGAAAAAATTTGCGAGGGGGGGGGGGGGTGGCGGAAATCGAAAGTTTTAGGGAGGGGGGGGGAAGGGGTGCAAATCGAAAGTTTGAGGGGGGTGCAAATCACCGGAAAGGGCGCGATTTGGCGCTACGGGCTAGACTGTGAGCAATATGCCTTTATGATTGCATTTAAATTGTGTTTATGTTATGAGTGTTGTGTTTGTTTTTTCCTTTTTTTTTTGTTTTTTTTTTTTGCGTTCGTTTGTGTTGTGTTTAGTTTTGTTCTGTTCCCAAGTTGGTACATTTAAAAAAGATTTACTGTGGCGGAGCACGGGATGCAGCTAGTAATCTATAATATAAGCGGGCTGAGAGTGTCCTTCCTTCCTTCCGTCCGTCATCGCTATAGATTTTGGGACTATAAAAGTAAACTGCGCACCACGCTGTGCTTTTCAGTGCACCGCAGTGTCTTATTATAAGTATTAGAGTAGGGTTTGTTTATATAGCGGCATAGAGCTATTTTATAATTGCCACGGTTTTTACTCTTTCGCATAACGTCAAGAAAATATTAAATACACGCAAACTGCTAAAACGTATTAAAAAGATTAATGTCAAATATCATTTTAGTTTATATTCCTAGAAAAAATGGATACATTTCCATAAAAGTAGGTCGAAAAAGCTAATTAATTCCACTTTTTTTTGGTGGTAATTGTTTCAAGGGAGGTAATTTGAAAATATATTTAACTCAACAATAATTTAAGTTAATCTTTTTTTTTATTACTACCGCATTGATTAGTCTATGTTAAGGTTCATAATTAAAAGAGAAAAATGTTAAGATTATTTATATTATTTTCTAATTAGTCTATGATTTCTCAAAATCACTATTTTTTGTTTTTGTTTTTTGGTGCTAACAGATGGTGAAATTTTATAATTATAATATAGAGAATGGTGGAAAGACTCTCTCTGGGCGCGGACGCCTGGGAAAAGCGTGATTTTCGGTGGTAATTCTAATTACATTGCCAATGTGTTTTCTTAGAACCATAAAAGTAAACACCACTTGCCGTACATTCATTTGCATCGCATTGTTTTATTGTAAGTTATGGAGTAGGATCTATTTATGTGACTTAAATTTTTAATGTTGGAAAGGGTCTCTTTGGGCGCGGACGCCTAAAAAGCGTGTTGTTTGGTGGTGATTCTAATGTTGTGGTTGTGTTTTTTTTTTTTTTGGTTGTGTTGTGGTTGTGTTGTGGTTGTATTGTGGTTGTTTTTTGGTTGTGTTGTGGTTGTGTTGTGGCTGTGTTGTGTTGTGTTTGTGTTGTGGTTGTGTTGTGGTTGTGTTGTGGTTGTGTTGTGTTGTGTTGTGTTGTGTTTGTGTTGTGGTTGTGTTGTGGTTGTGTTGTGGTTGTGTTGTGTTTGTGGTTGTGTTTTTTGTGTTTGTGTTGTTTTTGTTTGTTTTGTTCTGTTCCAAAGTTGGTACATTTAAAAATGATTTGCCGTGGCGGAGCACGGGATGCAGCTAGTCTATAATATAAGCGGGCTGTGTTTGTCCTTCCTTCCGTCCGTCATCGCTATAGATTTTGGAACCATAAAAGTAAACATCGCACCATTTAGTGCTTTGCAGTGCATCGCATTGTCTTATTATAAGTATTAGAGTAGGGTCTGTTTATATAACGACATAGAGCTATTTTATTATTTCCACTGTTTGTACAATTTTGCATAACGTAAAGAGAATATTAAATACACGCACATTGCTAAAACATATTAAAAGGATCAATGTCAAATATCGTTTTCGTTAATATTCCTAGAAAAAGTGGATACATTTTTATAACATAATAACTGTAGGTTAGAAAAATCTAATTAAACTGTTTAGTAATTTTGCCAAGGGAGGTAATTTAAAAATAAATTGAACTCGCGCTAAAAATGTAAATGCAAAATCTGCAAGACGGAATAATTGTTGGAATAATATAATTAGCAAAATGTGAATGCAAATTACGCAGACGTGTGAGAGTACATTATTGTTGGAATATTATAATTAGCATTGATTGATAAAAGGCTATATTTTATTTATTTTATTCACTGAATGTACTGTTTACTAATTAAATTTTTTAATCAACTATTCTCGAATTATTATATCAAGTCATCACGTTCATTAGGTGCGCAATGGTTTTAGTCATGAAACTTTATTGTAAATTTTAAAAAGTACTGAAAACAAGTTAATTAAAAAGTCTAGTGACAATTTTAGCGCAATGTCCTTATGTTATCTAAAAATAGCTCTGTCGTAGCGTAAATCAAGAGCAGGGTTAGTAAAACCATTGGTTAGTTATTAAAACGTTTTTTATTAATTTTTTTTTTCAGTATTTTACATGTTTTATTTACAATAGAGTTACATGACTAAAAACCATTGCGCGCCTACCTACTGAACGTGATGGCGCAGCTATTGAACGTGATGACGCGTGTGGTGTGGTTGGAAAAAATGCCTACTAATTCGGTCCAAATTTTAATTACTTCAAAAAAAATTTTGTGACCGAACGAAAGGATATTTTTGAAAACTTTCTTCGGCAATATTGTTCTAAATTATGACAGGAATCGATTGGTACATGTTTCAAGTCACTAACCGGTCTGGTTGCCGAGATATGGGCCAAAAACTGCTTTTTTTCGAGGTTTTTTTTGGCTTTTCTGGGAAATCCATGAAAGAAACCCGGAATTTTTATGGCCTATGTTCATCCTCGTAACTTGCTTAACATAATTGCTTTTGGAACTAGTCATCGATATTGCTTCGTTGAGGAGGAGATACGACTTAAAGCTGCGGACACACATTCATCCATCCATCCATCCATTCATACATTCATACATCCAGAAATGACGGGTTAATAAACGCAATTCTCCAGAATGGAAATTGCGCTAAAAAATGCATGAATTTATAAAGTGCAATATGGTCGGTAAAACACGGATATTCTAAATACTGCGTTTAATTTATTTTATACACTATACGTATTGTTTACTAATTATTATTTTATCTTTTGGTTTCCGGACAAGCTAGGGGTTTTATAGCAGAGGCGTAGCAAAGGGGGGGGGGGGGCATATGTCCCCGGGCCCGACCTTAGGGGGCGCCTAAATGGGCTGGAAATACAAATTGAAAATTTGCGGGAGGGGGGGGGGGGAGGGGGTGCAAATCGAAAGTTTGAGGGGGCGGGGTGGAAATTGAAAGTTTGAGTTTGTCCCCGGGCGCCGGAAAGGGTCGCTACGCCTCATTCACGGAGTCAGACGCGTCCGCCGGCGCTCGGAAAGGGCACGATTTGGCGCTACGGGCTAGACTGTGAGCAATATGCCTTGATGATTGCATTTAAATTGTTTTTATGGTATGAGTGTTGTGTTTTTTTTTCGTTTGTGATTTTTTTTTGCGTTCATTTGTGTTGTGTTTAGTTTTGTTCTGTTCCCAAGTTGGTACATTTAAAAAAGATTTACTGTGGCGGAGCACGGGATGCAGCTAGTTGCTTTATAATTGAGTTTCTCGAGAGAAATATCCAAGAGAGCGGTAGTTATCATTGACTCTGTCATTGATAACTTCATTGAATCTTACATAGAAAATAGTGTTTGATCGGCTGGGGGGGGGGGGGGGAGGTCAACAGAGGGGCAAGAATATTAACCCCCAAGATAATTCAATTATTTAATAATAAAATGTTAAGAGTTAAGAGTACAATATTTCGATAGATATCATGTAAATAATAGTAATGAAAAATATTTATGAGCTGTCACTGTCTAATAAAAACTATCTCAAGACCATTATTAATTAACGAATCAGGGTCAGCCGGGTCGAGTCGGTAAAGCTCATGGCTGCTATAGTTTACCGCCCCCTCGAACGAAATGAAATTTATATAGAAAATATATACTTTTAGCAGTGTCCGCCCCCCCCCCCCCGAAGAAAGTCTACTCCCCCCCCCCCCCCCCCCCCCCGAAAATTTCAAGTGCCCCCTTCCCGGAGGAAAATGTCTGGAAGAAACACTGATTTTGATCCGCCTATAAATACATGTATGTCATCACAACATCGTTACATTAATCTCCAACCAGCAATATTTAAAAGTGCTAGATCTATATATGCAATTATGACGTCATTTCCTTTTATTTTTGCAAACCTAAAAATAAAAACAGAAAAATAGATAAACACCAAAAGCTTTGCAAAGCCTAAAAGAAAATGGATGCTTCCGAAATTATCATTGACTTAAAACTTTGTGATACGTTTAAATACTTGATAAATTTAGTGATAATTTAAATTAGTACGAGATGCAAGGTAAACGTATTACGTTTTTTTGAGTGGGGAAAATCTATCATATTACAATTTATGTTAATCATTGTGTTTTTATTGAAACATAGACTAGATTCTAGATTAGATTTAGATCTAGAATCTAGAATCTACATAGATCTAAATCTAGATCTAGATCTAGCATGGGGTTGTAGATCACCAGTTCCTAAACTTTTTTTGGGTGGCCTCTGGTGGCGACCTCTTTATATATAGACCACGTGACCCGCGACCCTTACCGTTTAAAAAAAAAAACATTTTTAATAAGGCAATTTAAAACCCCCCAAATGAACATGGTACTAGATCTATAGTATGTTTAATAATTTAATGCGATTGTTGGAATTACATCTCATTAAACCAGCTTCAAAAAATCGCGGGTGTTTTTTTTAAACACCAAACTCATGTCATTCTCAACATTTTATTTATCTATTTAGTTTTTAAACGAACATTAGTTTAAAAAGCACATTCTCGGAGATTTTTACACGATGGAACTAAGACTTAAAAGGCAAGCTTTATCACATTCAAAGTCGGCGTTTGTTCTAGGGACCAGTGTTTCTTCCAGACTTTTTTCTCCGGGGGGGCACTTGAAATCTTCGGGGGGGCGGTAAACTTTCTTCGGGGGGGCGGACACTGTTAAAAGTATATATTTTCTATATAAATTATATAAATTTCATTTCGTTCGGGGGGGCGGTAAAAATTTTTCGGGGGGGCTTCGCCCCCCCGAAGAGATGCCTGGAAGAAACTCTGCTAGGGACGAGCATCCGCTCCGCGCGGGGCCTAAGTTTTCCGTTTTCCATTAATGGTAGACTCTATATCAGTTCCGCGAATAAATTGGCGAATTTCGATTTTTAAGTGTTCTTAACTTTTTCTTCCGTTTTAGAAAAGTAGCGTTTTTTTTTAAAAAAATCTCATAGCAAATTAATATTATGGCGACGATATATTTGGCCATATAAACTGCCTAGTAATATATTATGTTTGTTTTAACATGAAAAGACGTAAGTTGCTTACAAGTGTTATTTAACTGTTTGAGAGTGATGGTAAACATAAGTGAGACGTCATTTTAGGGGGTGAAGGACAAAAGGCCGACATCCAAAAGGCCGACAAGACATAAGGCCGACATGGACAAAAGGCCGACATGGACAAAAGGCCGACAGCCAAAAGGCCGACAGGACATAAGGCCGATAGCCATAAGACAGACAGCCATAGGGCCAACAGATCATAAGGCCGACAAACCATAAGGCCGACAAGCATAAAAAATACTAATATCGCAAAAGTTGTGTTACTGCATAGCTCCTATCTTGACAACCATCAAAATAAGGCATGAAAAAGGGTGAAACGTTCAAGAGAAGAGACGGTGCTAGCTGCTATCCTTATAAGGTGAACCATCGGGTCAAGCGACTGGAGATTACGGGTCAAAGGATTAACACCTAGATGCTGCGAAATGCTGTCACTGCTGTCTTTCATAGCTCCTTCTATGTAATCGAGGTGAGATAATCATCAAAGAACAAAGTCAAAAGCCGCCGGCATCATCGCCCACATGCAACAAGGTGGAACGCCAAGAAACAATGCTAGTTGCGATCCGTATAAGGTGAACAATGGGATCCGTGCGACTGGAGATGGCGGGAGTGTACAAAGAATAAACACATAGGTGGCGCAAAGAAATCAAAGAAACCGAATGAAGTAGAACAATCGCGTGCCTTGACTAGACTACATGTTAAATACAGACACAATTTGAATATTTTAGTTTCGTCCATTGCGAATTGCGTGAAAAATAAGTGTATATTATATTCTTTGGATTCATTAATTCTGTTGTGATTGTGATACAAGTGTGCCGAAAATGGTACGTTATTTTTTTTTTGTTTAAACTTACCCCTGTGATTTCCATATATATGGACCAATATATCAACAACAAAAAATTGGTTACATCGTGTGTTTTATTTTATGCTATTGTATGTACCTAAGAATATTTATTAGAAACTTAAAAAGTCGTATATAATTACATATTTTAGATATTAATTGTAGTTTGTTATTTATAAAACTTGTCGGCCTTTAGGATGTCTGCCTTTTGGCAGTCGGCCTTTTGGCAGTCGGCCTTTTGTCTTTTCGGCCTTTTGTCCATGTCGGCCTTTTGTCCGGATCCCCATTTTAGGTATTGAATTCTGGCTTTTGATTGCGATGTTCAGTGCTGGGGAGGAGAAGGAGAGGAGGTAAACAATCTGATGTTTATAGTATGGACCCCAGTTGAGAAACGTGCAGTGATTTATCCACACATTGATCTGGTTTCATTTTTTAAAAACGCAAGCACCGCCCTCTTAATTTTATAATTTAAATGCCGGAGACGAGTTTTACATTTGTTTTAAAATTGAAGTACATCAGTGACAAACTACAACATCTAGACTTCCACTTGTGTAATTAGTGGAAAGTGGGCTGGGGGGCACTTGATATTATCATCAGGGGGGGGGGGGGTCTAAATTTGGGACACTTGTAAAAGTATATGTTTTCTATATGAATTCCATTTCGTTCGGGGGGTCGGTAGATTTCTTCGGATGAGATGCCTGGAAAAAAAACTCTGCTGATGAACGATTACATAACTGCTTGACGTAAACGTGATGTAGCTATCAAACCTAATATGAAAATAATTGGTCACACTAAAATATAACTTCATCTATATATCTTTATCTATATATTTAAAGCAAAGTAGTCGGGTGCCCGATAAGGCACTTCCCGGCGCCGCAAGCGCTTCAGATTTGGCAGGCTCCAGGCATGGGACAATAGATCACTGTAGCCGGTGCTAGTTGGCCGCAAAGACCACGAAGAGAGGGTCAAAACTGACATCGACTGACCGGCGCCTTATATGAGGTTAATATGAGCTATATATAGAAAAAAAACTTATGCCGGACGACCCCTCCCCCCATGATATTTTGTAAGATGGTAGAAAGCCTAGGGGTGTACGGTGTAAAAAAAAAAAACTCGCAATATCCGGAAAAAAATCTAGAAATGGGTCCAAACTGACCAGACGTATTTCCCTCAGGGGCGTAGCGAGGGGGGGGGGGGCGGGGGGTGCGGACCGCACCGGGTGACACCATTTAGGGGGGTGACACCAAGGCAAAAAATAGCAAAATATATAGAGAAAAACTTGAGGGGGGTGCAAATCGAAAGTTTGAGGGGGGTGGGTGCAAATCGAAAACTTGAGGGGGGGGGGTGCAAATCGAAAGTTTGATGAGGGGGGGGGGGTGCAAATCGAAAACTTGAAAGTTTGTCCCCGGGAAGGGTCGCTACGCCTCTGGGGGGGGGGTGACACCATTAAGTGCCGCACCGGGTGACACCCGACCTCGCTACGCCACTGATTTCCCTATATAATTTTTGTAATTTACGTGAAAAACAGATGGTACTTTCAACAAAGATTTCAGGCTACTTACCCTCTGTACATCTAGCTATTTTTGCATGCACCTTGGTAAAAGGCTAGGTCATATGGAAAAACTGTCGCTTTGACTAAAAGCCCTCGACGAAGGTTAAAAAATGACCACTAGTGAAATTCTCTTTATATGAGCTTTGTTAAAAAATTTTTGTCGAACGACCCCCCCCCCCCCCCCCGTTGGATATTTTGTGAGGTGGTGGATAAATGGAATATTATAATTAGCATTGATTGATAAAAGGCTATCTTTTATTTATTTTATTCACTGAATGTACTGTTTACTAATTATAAATATCTAAATACTGCCTTTAATTTATTTTATACACTGAACGTATTGTTTACTAATTATTATTCTATCTTTCGGTTTGCGGACAAGCTAGGGGTTTTATAGCAGAGGCGTAGCAAGGGGGGAGGGCATATGTCCCCGGGCGTCAACCTTAGGGGGCGCCAATGTGGGTTGGAAAAAAATTGCGGGGGGGGGGGTGATGGGGGAAGGGTGGAAATCGAAAGTTAGAGGGTGCAAATCGAAAGTTTGAGGGGGGGGGGTGCAAATCAAAAGTTTGAGCGGGGGAATTTAAAATCAAAAGTGGTGCAAATCGAAAGTCTAAGGGGAGGTACAAATCGAAAGTTTGAGGGGGTAGGGTGGAAATTGAAATTTTGAGGGGAGGGGGTGCAAATCGTAAGTTAAAGGGGGGGGGGGGTCAAATCGAAAGTTTGTCCCCGGGCGCCGGAGAGGGTAGCTACGCCTCTGTTTTATAGTCATTCACTGTGTCAGACGCGTCCGCCGGCGCTCGGAAAGGGCGCGATTTGGCGCTATGGGATAGACTGTGAGCAATATGCCTTTATGATTACATTTAAATTGAGTTTATGTTATGAGTGTTGTGTTTGTTTTTTCGTTTGTGTTTTTTTTTTTTGCGTTCGTTTGTGTTGTGTTTAGTTTTGTTCTGTTCCCAACTTGGTACATTTAAAAAAGATTTACCGTGGCGGAGCACGGGATGCAGCTAGTACTCATATACACTTGTAGTGCACCAGAGCGAGAAGTATAAGGTTTCCTTCATATAAAGAGAACACGTACAGTTTGATCTCTTCTCAATCTCATCCATTGTGGTAGTTCTTAAGCCGTGCTTCTTGAAATTAATATTCCTTATTGGGTTGTGGTTATTTGTTGTTGTAGCAAAATCAATATGGAACAATGAGTCTTAATAGTTATTTAAATATAAAAGTTATTTAAATAGTAGTGCATAGTTATATATTTAAAGAAAATAATTTATTTTCTCCTTTTTAGTGCATAATTATATAAAAGCTTGTAATTACAGCACTTTAAAAATTTTAATCGAGATGCGTGACAAAAACAATTGCGCACTAAATGTACACGAAAAATATTCTTATAATAGCGCACTAAATAGTAGTTTATATAGGAACTTTTATTTCGATCCAAGTTTAATAAAACAAGTTAATTAAAAAGTCTAGTGACATTTAAGCGCAATTTCCTTATGTTGTCTAAAAATAGCTCTGTCGTAGCGTAAATCAAGAGCAGGGTTAGTAAAACCATTGGTTAAAATACATGTTTTATTTACAATAGAGTTACATGACTAAAAACCATTGCGCGCCTAGCTACTGAACGTGATGACGCAGCTATTGAACGTGACGGCGCAGCTATTGAACGTGATGACGCGTGTGGTGTGGTTGGATAAAAATGCCTACTAATTCGGTCCAAATTTTAATTAATTCAAACAATTTTTTGTGACCGAACGAAAGGATATTTTTGAAAACTTTCTTCGGCAATATTGTTCTAAATGATGGCAGGAATCGATTGGTACATGTTTCAAGTCGCTAAGTCGTATGGTTGCCGAGATATGGGCCAAAAACTGCATTTTTTCGAGGTTTTTTGGCTTTTCCGGGAAATCCATGAAAGAAACCCGGAATTTTTATAGCCTATGTTCATCCTCGTAACTTGCTTAACATAATTGCTTTTGGAACTAGTCCTCGATATTGCTTCGTAGAGGAGGAGATACGACTTAAAGCTGCGGACACACATTCATCCATCCATTCCCAGAAATGACGAGTTAATAAACGCAATTCTTCAGAATGGAAATTGCGCTAAAAAAGCTTGTAAAAAATTGTACACATTTATTACTTCCCTTTATGGAGAACAATTACAATAGACTAAAAAAATATGCAGTACCACATTCCTTATGTTTGTGGTCATTATGATTAAAAATTAGGTTTATATATTTCTCAAGGGGCGGACACCATTTCATTCGGGGGATGACGTCACACTCGTAGGGGGGAGGGGGGTCCGTAATTTTGTGACGATGTGTGATGAGGGGGGGGGGGGGGTGTTCAGATGGTGTGACGTCACTTTTCTGTATTATAAAAAAGCAATGTTAGAATACGAGTATGAGCCGTTATTTCGCGTTTTAGAAAACGGTTTAAAAAAAATTGTAATAGGAATAGACCAAAATACTCTATGTTGACAGAGTTCTGACAAGATTTTAGAAAAATATCGATGTTTTAAAAAAAAAAAAGTAAACAGCAATTTTGAGGGGGGGGGGGGCTGTAGGCTGAGGTGTGACGTCATTTTAGGAGGGGACGGGGAGGTAAAAATCGTCAAAAAGCGTGATGTCATTTATGGATGACCCCTAAAAAAGTAAAGGTACATCGCAAAACGCATTGATCTCATTTTCTGATTATTGGTGCCATATTATACCATATCACCCTATCTATTTTAATTTCAGATCACTTTTTAAAACCAGAACCAATGGATATTGGCATATCGATTTAGCCAGTGGATAAGATGAACTTTGACAATGTATGCTTGCCTCGTCACAAGAGGCAATTTCAAACCAATGACTGCTCTAGTTTACCTTACAAAACTAAGTGCCATATTCAATGTTTTATTGGATCCATATTATTCAGAAGTGGAAGTATCATGTACAGTTTTTTCACATCAGTATTTTTACAACTTCACGGCTAAAAGGCCAAGAACACAGTTAACAGGGCTGCCAATGAACTGTGAAGTTAAACTAATCGAAAATAATTTGTCTACTCCAGGTTTTCATTTGAAACTGAAATGCTTTGTTAATTACTGCATTAACAAGTTCGCTTTCAACCGACATATTAAAATACCAGTTTTAGTTATGCATTCAATTGAAAACTATACCCAAAAACAATTAAAAAATAAACATTTGAGATTTCTACTTTTGGCAGTTCCCAACACTAACAATATTTCGAATCACAGTTCACCGGACAAAAACTTTTTTTTTTTTTTTAAATCTATTTTGCAAAATAGGAATAGAAACAAAAGATCCCATGAATCCCGCCAAGTAACAACAGAAAGCCGAATCCCTTTTGTAACCATAGCAAAAGATAACTACCAAGATTTGAGTTCCAGAATGAATAGACACATGTGTCCAACGGGGTTTTATGGAAATAACTGTAGTGCTATCTGCAACTGTGTCTTATCTAGCACTTGTCACGAAGTGACAGGACAATGTCCTGGTGGAAGGTGTTCTGTAGCATGGAGAGGACAGTACTGCAATCAAAGCATATGTCCTATCGGCTTCTATGGGATAAAATCAAACAAATTCTGCATAGAAAAAAAATGTAATTGTGGTATAGATCAAAACTGCGACACAATAACAGGTCAATGTGAAAGAAATCAATGCTCCAATGGCAGTTTTTGCTTACTGCAGAGTTGTAAACGGAGGTTCTTTCCTCCAGGCTCTTGTGACAATGTTTGCGGTTGTTGGGGCGACAGCGTTTGTAATCCTGTTACTGGAGAATGTAAGCCAGGAAACTGTAAAAATCCTCGACTTCATCAGCCACATTGTATCACTTTGGTAGAACCACAAAGCGATTGGGTCACTGTGATTGCGATAGCTTTTTTCTTGATAATGATTGTTTTAAAAACAGGATATTTCATTGTCATTAAAACAAACAGAAAAAAGTATGCTTTTATTATTACATCAGATGTAGATGATGATGTGAGATCACAAACTTTAGTTTGAAGTTTTAGGCATGTTAACTCATATCACAACCAGTATTTTATTATTTCCATGTGTACAATTCACACAAATACAAAAAAAAAATACTGTGCCATTGCATATATTAATTTAAAATGTTTTAGAGTATATTGTATATGCAGAAACATTCATATAAGAATTTTGATCACTTTTTTATAACTTTAAATCCTGTTAATTATTTTCATTAATGTTTGTTGATTCATCTTAATCCAGATCAATAGCTAGAGGTATAATACATTAAAACCATGATACAGCATTTGATTAAAGCACACAAAAATATACTTAACCATGCCTTTTCAAACAACATACTGAGATGATCATCTGAAATACTGCATGTGTGAATCTTAGTTGATTTATTAATGAACTGAAAAAATCCAGCTCTAATAGGTACTTCAGATGGGGAAATTAATCAGCATTTCATTTGAAATTTAAGGAAATATCAATTGAATATTTAAAAATGTTATGTAATGCAATCACAATTTTAAGGCTACCACATTCAAATAGCTTTTTAGAATTGTTTTTTTTTGAGAGTGCAATGATACTTTCTTAAGGTTAAAATTTTTGTTGTCTGATTGGGAAAAATTTGTACTTTAAATTTGGAGGTATTATCCATACTTAAAAGATCAAATAACTACAAAAAGCTACTTTTCTTTGAAATAAATAAACATACAGTTGTATATTGCACTACAAAATGTATTTGTTGCAGATTCATCAACTCTTTTGTATTTCATCAGCTAGATTATTTTTTAATGTTAGACTTTTTTCATGGATTTTGAAATTTATACTGTTTTTTTTCATAGAGAAAGTGTGATATTTCAAACAAAGTTTG